TAGTGCTCCCAGAAAGTTATATCTCCAACGCGCTAGTGCCTCGCACTTCAATATTACATGGGTGGTCGTTTTTCTCCTTCTCATCGTATACCAGATGTATTTCTTGCGCCCATCTTGCCAGCCAGCCGCGTATTGGTGCTTTGGGGATTCCGAACATAGGTTCCGGTCCAATAATCAACGCCGCAGACCCTTGCCTAGCAAAAGCGTCAGCTGCTTCATTGCCATCAATTTCTTTATGTCCTGGCACCCATTGAAGCGTTACTGTTGTGGTTAGCCAGGGTTAGCAGGCTTCGAAGGCAATCCCAGACCAGCCTTGCTATAATTTCATTGCGTGTTGAAGATTGGATGGCGGCCTGAATATCTGAACATATGATTTCTTTTTATCGCTTGGAGCGCACGAAAGGGAATCCCTATAATGTTCGAAGAACATCGTGCGTTCCTTGGGAGGATAGGGATGATTTGTTTGCCCCTTCATCCTCTCACGATATTCTTTCCCAGATATCCCTCAATAGCATGCACCTCTGCCTGGAATACTGAAGCATACCTCCCCAATGCAGCACAAACCCTAGTTTTGGGTATGTCTCCATGTGGACTGAGGTTTCCATAGCAGTGGTATTAGTTCTGAGCAATGCACCTGTGATGCAGAAACAAGCTAATCTCTGGAGTTTTGGAACCTTCATTATAGCCAATCTCTGATCAGTCTTAGGCCACCAGACAAGCTACAGTCATTGTTCTCACCACAGCAGTATACAGCCAATGTACAATGCGTGGTTTCAGTCCTCATGTGTTACCAATTGCTCGCCAAGCAGCCATTAGTGCCATTTTGCCTTTGCTGACAGTCTTTCGCAGTTGAGTATTTCTGGTAAGCTCAGCATCTAGGGTTACTCCTGTGATCCCACACGAGCAACTCTCAGAAGTCTCCAAGAGACTTGTGCGAGCAAGGAATGACGGGGGTTCTACCTTTTGACGTGTGATCCCCAACACTTTCTTAGTCCTGCACGATTCGCTGTTGCGTTCCAATTAACAGTGCTGCTCCTAAAGTGGCGCATGGAGTTAGTAACAAAGCCTTCACAGAACACGCAGAAAGAGATGATGATGTGGTTGTGAGCATCAGAGAAGAAGTAGAACGGTGTATGTAGGTGGGTGTAGAACACTACCAGCGGAGCGTGAGAGCGGGCCAGCTGCTTAGTGGACCTCGGTCTCTAACAAGGGTTTACGAGAATAGCTAGCAAGCCTGCCACTGCAGCATATAGTAGTGACTACATTACGAGCCTACAAAACACAGCCGAAAAAGTCTGAAAAAGAGATGATGGGCGGTGCCTGAAAAGGATGTTAGTCAGCTCTCTTAAGCGAACCACATCAGTCATTGAAAACACCTTGGGGCTTGCAAAAAGGTCCCATTAGGAACTAGTTGCTGACGTGCGAACATCCCCCACCAGTACCAGTACCAGTTCTTAGGCCATCAGAAAGATGTCGCGGCCGTGGTGGGAATCGAACCCACCTACCGGCAATCCAACGTGGATAGAACATTGACGCTGTAACCACGAGGCTCCGCTGGCCTGTTGTGTCACATGATTTTTATTCACCGACATGTAGTGTATGATCAAATGCCCCTTCAATTTCCAGGAAGGCCGCAAGAGCTATGTTCTTGATGCCTATTGTTGCGCCAATTTTCACCACCAATGATATGCATGCTGGTTTTTATGTAGTGGCCTTTCAATGAGAAAGCTTTCCCTGATATGCATTCCAGTTAGGTTTTCCATCACGTTCAACATGAATGATGATAGAAATATCGGCCTGCACGCCTTAGCCTGAGTAAAATCTCTTCCAGGCATTTGAATGAATACGATCCTCGCTCTCTTCCATGCAACCGGAATGTAACCTATTGCCAGACTTGCTCTCAATAACAGACAAATAACCGGAGCCAGCTGGAATTCACCCTGCTGTAGCATTGCAGGGATTATTCAATTCGATCCCGGCCTTTTGTAGGATTCAAGAGTTTTTATGACCCACAGCCATTTACTGTAGTCAACAATCTTTTTCGATACCGACCAGCCGGGTCTTGATCTGATATATCTCAGTATTTTTATAGATGAGCATCTGACTTGGTCGTATCACGTTAATGCAGTTATATAAAAATTAATCAACACATACGTTCTTTGGAAATTTCGGAATGAAATGGGCGCTTATGTCTTTATATTACTATTTTCGACATATTCATTCTTGTCATTTCAACGTCATCATATGTTCTAGCGACTGTGCCAGGGCTGATGAGGTCTCCAGAGTTTTGAAGATAAGAATTCAAACTATATTATATAAACCGAAAATGCAAACAACTATTTCCCAAATTAAACCTACTACTATTTCCCCACTCCTGTTTATACTTGCGTCAATGGTGTAAATCAAAAATGACCGATAAAATTAATCTGTTTCTACATAGAAATAATCTATATTGTGTGCGAATTAACCTGGATTTGGACTATCACAATCAAGGACTGACCAATATAACGAAGAGTCCTATTGTGTCATTTTTGTTATTATTCATGGACCGTCACTTCAAAAAACGAGTCATTTTATTCTTTGCAGAACTCGAATGAAACATCAAAACATCATCATCAAAACATATTCCGATTAATTGATATGTGTTCTTGTCACTATAGCTAACATGATAATTTATATCTGATTGAATAAAATGGGAAGAGGGACGTACAATGGGTTTCAAATTCATTTTCTGCATTTTCCTTACGTCGATGGGTTGACTTTTGAAGTTATGTTACACATTGTCATTTGGTACGTTTCGACCCTATTCTGGCCATCATCAACTATTTTTCGGATATGGACCAGATTCTTTTCATAATTTTGTGAAAAAGGTTCAATAATCTAATTGAGCATTCAACAAAGCCACGTCTACATCAATATGCACTTCGGAATACGTTAATGATGTACCATTCAATAACATTTAACGGATAACAGTGAAGAGATAAATATGGATGCATAAATCAGAAACTTCTTTGAACGACAAAATTGTTCGAGGTAGAACTGATGAATTTACAATGAGGGATGTTCAAGAAGATTGTCATCCAAGTCCATATTTAGAACTATCTCTATGCATCAAAACTATGATATTTTGCATATTGTCGGAATAAATTGAGGCCCATTCCGATCTGTTATCAAGATATCAGGACCGAATCCTGAAAAGTGAAGTTGGTGATGGAAACAAGGAGAATTTGAACAGAAAATCGAAATGCCCAATTGATTAACGTCGAAAGTTGCCATGAAGATGTTTCTCCAGTATTGTCATAATTTCATTATCAACCCCTGGAAAAAATGGAATTGACTTCTTGGAAAATAACTGAAAAACGAGAAGTTGTTACGTTTTATTTCATAAATAGATATATACTTAGCCGAATGCTACAGATGTATACTTATAATAATAATATAAATAACCTTATATTTTGAGACGTTGACAGGAGGGTTGGTTGTGAGCTCACAGCATAGCTTTTAAGCAGGGAGAGGGGGTGAGTCCAATGTAGAAGGTCTTATATAATTCTATGAAGGGCGCCAATAGATTCAAATTTTATCCACAGACCAACCTAAAGACATCTACGCAAGATATATAATATGTATCTCTAAGAAACTGAACCTATAAAATTTCTTTGCCGTCGTTGGTATACAAAATGATCAAGGCACAGTAGCTCGAAACAAAATAATATATTTTCGTGAATTGTATGATAGGAAATAACTTGTTAGCAACCAAATACCTATAGTAATGACTATGATGAGTATATATGAGATAGAGGGTAGTGCACGTACTCTCGCGAGAGGGAGAATAAATAGATAGGATAGATGTATTCAAAATCACACTCCCTATCCACTCTGAATATTACATACCATGAGGGGCCTAAAATTACTACTAACTATATAGTTAACTTAATCAATCCTATATAAAGCTAACTACTATAGTCCTTTTATATTCAACAGGAGAACACAAATATAGGGCTCAACCCGACGATAATAGTGGAGTGATGATATTGACTTCTTCAAATCCCGAATAAGTATACATAAAATGTATGATTATATGTAATGCCGCCATGCGGTACTTAGCCTCATCCGTGGAGTTCCGGGGTGTAGACTTCGGAAGTTGCGAGCCTGAGAGGAACAAGACTACTTCATTTACCCCTCGTTAGATTTTACTAGGCCCTTCCGTTCGCCCTTGAATAGGGTTGTCATAATATATAGTCACCCATAAAAACGCCTAAAAGGAAGAAATGCCTCGTTGACAAGAAATGCGTAACAAAAGTACCGAGAATAACTATAACATGAACTCATAATAGGTACTTGAAAATTCTGATTTTGTGAATAAGTTGTAAAACTCACCTTTGATTATCAAGACACTAAATAATCTGAAGACGTTTGTTTCACTCGACCAAAAAAAATACAACTGATACTATAATCCTCGTGAAAGAGATTTGACGGTAGTTAACAACACCCACAACTATATATTGCCTAATAGCCACCGTCAAAAGAACTGATGAATCAAATCCGCCGTTTGCGAAAAAATCTTATTTTAAATAATTCAATTCAGTCCAATGTATCATCACGTCTGTTAAAATCAGAATTGCTAGAAATTGTCAAGTACATATCGTAAAACAAAAAAAAAGACAAAAAAGTACTTCCATATTCCCTCGCTAGAGGCAGCAGCTCTCGGGTACTGATTTGAGAATTGATCGTTAAATGGGTTGCCTATACCAAGCATGATTGATAAATGGATAATTCCTCGCGAAAACGTAACAAAGTCATATCATAGATTTTTGGAATCCATTTAATTGGTCCTTCTATCGCACATTTTTGTTTTCATCCAACCAAATTTATACCTCTCGTAGTTTTTGGAATGTCCATACTGGCCCTCCATATCTTGAACACAGTGTATATCTCGTTGATCGATAACTCTAACGATAGACTTTCAAAACATATAATATTCTTTTCTTTTTCAGGTGAGAATGAAGTGCCCCAAGCAGATGGGTCTTTTACTAATGGCCATTGTGGCAGTGGTGCTTTCTGTGCCTTCAGAACAGAAATCAAGGTACATCTCCGAAGAAAATCATAGTTATCATTCAGAGATACCATTAGGCATACAATCTCCTCAAAACTCTTACATTTTGTCTCATCCTCTTCAAAATTCCAATACTACTCATACAGCTTCTTTGGCCAAGTATGGCATTGGTTCTATGAGAAAAATGACTAGAATTCATATATCAGGTCAGAATAGTGAGACAATGAATACATCTAATCATTTATTTTCCAAAACGAATAGTTCTAATAAATTGGTCAACTCACAATCGTTGACGGCAAATTTCGAGAAGATAAATCACAATTTGGTTAAAACCAGAAAAGGTACATCAGTAAAATCACACAAAACAGTAACTAAATTACCGTTGATACTCGATGCCATGAAAATAACTACTCCTTCTACCAAGAAGTTAGTCAAGATTAAAATGAAAGTCACCACACCTAGAATGAAAGAAAAATATTCAGTAAAAAAGAAACATAATTCATCTGATATTTCTCATATACCACAAGCTATCGAAACAAAGAAATCTATCATCCATAAAGTTAAAACTAAATGGTCAGACTCTTTGACCAAGGAAAAACAAAATTGGTATGAGGACGGAGTACCTTATCCAAATCCAAACCCAGATATAAGTTCTTCTTCTCCTTCATTTTCTCTGAATGAAATCAGCTCAATAGCTCCTATTATTTCAGATAATAGCGGAGAATCTGATTTGAGTTTGACACCAGAAATAAGTTCTCATTCTCCACCTTATTCAATCAGTGATGTCCCTGATATTTTTCCAGCTGCCGTTCCATCATCAAGTACTATAGCAAGCGACGTTTTGAGTGTTTTTAACTTAGACATGGTTTCTGATGCGACAAAAGTTGAGAATGGAGATAGTTCTCCTTGCCCTACGGTACATATCTCAAGTAATGTAATGAATCCACAACAAAGGCAAGGTTGTTCTGATTTGAACTTGGTCATCAATTCACATATCCATCAGAATTCAGCTGCAGGTGGAAATCGACTTCCAGCAGTGAGTACGTACGATTCTCTACCAGGAGGATCAGCTGAAGATCCACTTGCTGAAGCTGTCGAAGACAACGGAGTTTTTGCTGATTCAGTTGGTGCTCAGTCTGTTGCGGCTGATCCTGCAGTATCAGCCGATCCAGGAGCAGGTGCTGTTCAATCTGCTGCTCCAGCTGCTGGAGGATCTGGAGGATCTGGCGGAAGTGGTGGAAATGGAGATGGGGGTAGTTGGAAGTTTCCTGATTTGAGACATCTTTTCGAAGCATTGGGATATATATGGAATGGACTCGGTTATTTCTTGAGTTTTCTCAGAAATCCTTATCTTTATATAATACCTATGGTATTATTTTTTCTACTAGGGTTTTTCAAGGTACTAGCTTTATTTCCATGGTGGATTCCTCTCCTTCTGTTGTATTTAGGAATAAAGACCAATAGCAAACCAAAACAGTCTCTCTCGTTTTATCAGCATATTCACAAGCCTATTCATCATTTGGACGGCTGGTTTTGGAATCAGAAAACTAAAACTTGGCAAAATGTACAGAACTTCAAACATTCAAGAAAAGATGTCTTTAGTAGTATCGATTATGATAATTCTGACAGCCTTTCAACTGATCTTGAAAGGATTCATGGAATTTATGCACATAAGGGTATGGGAATTGTGACATCGAAAGCAAAAAATAGGAGATACCGCTAAAAATTCAGAATTCAATTAGTGAATATATATATTGTCTCACTATAGTTCATCATCTCTTCTAGTCAAAGTTAGTGTTTTGAGACAGTTCCAATTCAGAGAGTGAGACAAAATGTTATATTGTTTATTGTACATTTCTTATTTTAACGCAAGTTTCTCTTCGCTTGCAATCTCATTCGATCAATTGTAATCTAATTCAATCGTTACTACCTTATTTATTCCTTCATGTATTATTTTGAGATTATGGTTTGGCAATTTGATTGTGTGTGGATTAGTCGTAGAATAAATATTATCCATAGTTATGTGTTTTCTTTTCCTTTTGTACATTATTTGAACATCATATTTTTGATTTCATTCTAGATCAGCAATATCTACCAGAGAAAGAAGAAGAATAACAAATAAAGGGATCCATGAAATAAATTCTACAACATTGGATCTACTAGATGTTAGAACACCTCCGAAAGTCAAGGAGCAACAAAAGAAAATCCATGAAAAATTTGAGTTTTCACACCCTGGCGTTGCTATACCCGTTGATGAAAATATAATATTGGCGGAAGCAACAACAACATCCGAGAATGTTCTCACTGTTGAGCATAAAACATCAATAGACGATGGTCCTTCTTCTTGGATTTTGTTGAGTGGTCTGTCCTCAACGACATCCACACCTTCAGAAGGCAATAATGCCAGCAAGAAAAATTCAACTAATGAGGTTCAATGGAACTCAACCATATCAGTCACAGGTAAACCAAAAAGAAACACTTATTCTCATTTCAAAAAACGTGTGAATGTAGTAACATCCGAAAGGCCCTTCGAGAAAGTTACGATTACTGAAAGTCATCAAGCTAAGGTGCATAAAGACGTAACAAATCTTACAAGAATAAAAGCATCTGAACTGAATAAGGCAGTGATAAAAAGGAACAGTTCTCAACATGATTTGTTTGATAATTCATCAATGCTCACAAATTCAAATACGAAAACGAAAGAATCACATAATGTTTCTTCTCATATCATCAGCAGCTCAACATCGAATACAACTGCTCAGGCAATAAAGCTTACCAACAGCACTATGGATGCTGGTGTTAACGTTACCAAACTATCTGCTGAAGCAAAAGACATAGAAACTGATTTAGTAAGTACTATCAAGAAGAAGAAAAATTCTACTAAAAGAAAGAAGAATAAGAACCGTCGAAGAAAACCAACTGAAACAAAAGGTGATATAACTACAGTATCTAAACCCTCAAAAGTATCGAAACAAAAGCCAATCAGTACTCAAATCTACAGTTATTTGTCTCGTGAAGTAATGCCAACTGTTGGTGTTGGTTTAGTTGGTTTAATGGTAACAGCAGGTTTAGCAAGTTATTTCTTTTATCCATTTGGTATAGCAAGGAGATCCTATAATGTGGACAGGAAAGATCACGATGGAGATTATTATTATAAAAATGAATTATCTGTTCCAGAAGAAGAGGCTATAGGCAAAGTCATAGCTGGTATGTCAACGAATACTTTATTCCCAGACAATCTCCAACGACCAAAACATAAGGAGAGAAATTCGAATATTAGATATAGGTTAGTAGACAAAAAAACACAAATCAATGAAGGTATGCACGGTTCTGTGGAGGATGTACCATTGACGTACGATAAAGAAAATGAAGAACAGAGTTATTACAATACTTACCAAACTATAGATTATAGTTCTGATCCGAACGAGAATAAATTGTTCGTTGCTGCACCTGAAAAAGCTAAAAATGCTGTTACCCCTGTGACTGTACCAGAGCATGGGCCAAGAAATTTGAATAGTGCTGATGAAGACATGGAGAAAATGTCAGATAAACAGAAATCAAAACTAGAAACAGTTCATGGACCTAGATATCTCGGTAACGGAAGACGTAAATGAAGTAACATTTCCAAGAAAATATTTGACATTACTATAGGTGTACCTTCAGTGCGTTTCGAGTTGCGTTCTGGTACTGATTTCATATAGACGATTGAAGAGGCCCATATAAGACACGTCACTGTCTTATATGGGCCTCAATTGAGTATGGTGACTACTAAAATGAACATAACGTTCGAAATCTTGACTTAGTCCTCAATTTTCAATACATCAATGTAAAACAAATCTTAAACTGTCGAAATGCATGTTTTATGCGAAATGTGATAAAACTCTATGTTCTGTGTTATTTCATTGTTAGGTAATCTGTATCAAGTACATGTCCCACGGTCAATTTGGGGTAGAAGTTTTCAAAGGAAAACAAATTGTCTGTCATTTTCATGGAAGTTTTTGACCGTGAGACATGGAAGTAATCTCTTTTTTCTCTAGATCCATGTATCACCTTGTTTTTTGACATATTTTCACTGTAGAGGTAGGTACCTATTTCAAACTCCCTTTTCTGGTGACGGATATATTTCATTATGTGGATCATAGTTTGTTGAAGAGAATGTCTCGAGATGTACTTTTAAGAATAAATAATATAATGTCATTGATGATATGAAATTATGTATTATCTACTTACTGAATGGAATTCCGAATCTCTACTTTCTAGAAATATTAATATTGGCGCGTGTATTCAGACAGGAGGCAAATGATTGCACAATACTTCATAGGTTATTCTGATTATAACATACCAACGTTATATTATATCATATATATATATATATATATATATATATATAGTTTCCAAATAAATTATGGTCAATTGACAATATTCTTGAATATGTTGAATTTACACCCTCATTATCATAACCTAAGAAACTGAAGAAATTTGAAATCAGTGGATTTCATGCAAAAAAACTCTTTGTGTTTGTGAAACGGATTAGAAATAATGAAGCTGATACATCAAGGTAGGGTGTTACCTATCACCTTATTTTTCCTCTCAATTTTTTTCAGATTCAAAGTAGCATGTTCATGAATATATCCTCGAGTATATCTCCTTTTGGAAAGAAATATTCTCAGATATATTATGGACATGAAAAAAATCGAAACATTCAAAGGAATACATTGAGAGTTCGCATTCTCTATTCGATGAAAATATGAGATATTTCTCGAATTAATGAACAGAAAATGAGTACTTTCCTGGAATATGCCACGACGATTATTATTGAACACACACAATAACCTGAAAATACGAATCTTCTGATAAAATTGAGGATTTGCATTCTCTCAACCCTGAAAAAACCTTGACGTGCAATATCGAATGGCTCCAATGAAAAAAACCAGAGATCTAGATAAAATTTGGGGTAAGACCCCTTTCTCCACCCAAAGTTCTACACTGTAGCAATTCTGACATCACCACTGTGCAAATTTCCATGCGGAAGGCACTCCATTTCATTTTCTGCATCTTGTTCAATTTCCATGATGACATTTATCGTTTATTAAAAGAATTAGGAGACATCTGATATCTTGGAAACATTTGTTATACTGTATCATATTGATGTGCTGAATATATTACCCAGCAAACATGTATCGCGCGGGCCTTTAGACGCCCTCCAAAAACTGCCGACAGTCAACATCAGCGGGCCACAATCATGATACATCGTCGGCCCGGCTAGCCCGTGTCGCACCGGCCGCTAGTAGGCCGCCCGACTATCTACCGACACTATTCGGTTAGAAATAAAAAAAAGATATAGTCGGGAGTCGGACTCGAACTTGCGATCGAACGGATATCCAATCAACTGTCAGACGCTTATACCACTAGGCTACTGCGAAACTTGAAAGATACTATTACGAATCCATCAGTCAACAGAATTGAAATAGTACAATACTTCAATTATATTTGATATTTGATCATATACGATATACCTATCATAACTTGTTGATTCGACGACGTAGAATAGGTTTAGTCTGATAATGTTCTAGCCTCATTACTTTTCCAGTGTTTGATCTATTACTGTGAATCAAATATTTTTCGAATATAGGTAAAGATCTGAACTTCGCATTGGAGCATCATTGTTATAATATAGGGTAATGAACAAATATTTAGCTCAAAATCATTACCACAAAAATGGATTGGTAGACAATAACGAGTTTAATTATTGTTATATAACATATATCATTATTCTTGATGTCGGACGATAGTTTGCTGGGATCAATCATAAAACTCACCAACTTTTTCTAAATAATATTAATATTATCACGCCGTTTAACAAATACCTGAAGACAAGTGACAGACAACTGACGCGATCTACGGACACAGAACTAAAACACGAAAATAAATTAGCAGTACTACCAATGCTCAAAAACCCAGTGATGCCAACATTGCGTTTGGTTCAGTTACCACTGACCTGTAAACAACATACATACTGCGTCAAAGCGACATCGGCACGATTGTCGGGAATTTTAAACGGGCAATTTCTGGCTGAATAACAAACATCCATTATAAACATGCGTACGTTCAGCCATGGCGGCAAAACCGATGTCGTTTCAACATTTTAACGACATAGGTGTGCCGCTGCCGACAACTAACCGCAGTTACCAGCAATCGGCCGCCTATTTACCGCTCAATCATGTTTGCTGGGTACCAATTTCGATAACACCTTGCATATACCGGGTGATTTTCCAAGATGGCTCATCCAAATAATTCTCTCATTATTGAAGGTAGTGAAACGAAATTGGGTGATTTATAGTGCAGAGAAAGAAGTTAAGACATTGCGCCGTCACACCCATTGAGTATAAATGAAAACTTCTAATGTAGATATTATCGTAATCGAACCGTACTACATCTATCAACTTTTATCGAAAGTCCGGCAACATTATTATACAAAGTTATTGATACTTCCGGTACTTGTGATCTCGCCGATAGCAAACACTTGGGTTGAGCTATCAACCTCTGATTACAAAAATTTCAGGCAGACCTTGAAGCTCAATATGATATGAAGAGGACGATATTCTGAAATTAAAGAGTATCATTCTGTTGAATGTATAAAAAAGAATCATTATTTTAATCAGATAAAAAATACGAATTGTCAATGTAGTTGTTTATTCATTTCTGTCAATGTATATAATTTGTTTTCTTCATATTCATGATATATCAGAAAATATTCCTTTCTGAAACTTTCATATCCAAACAAGGGGTTCATACCTGAATGATGACAATTTATTTTTGTCTACAACTGTCAAGTAATGATTATGATTTGACACTTTTCTGAATGTGATAATGACGGTAATTATCGCACTAGTGCTTTTTTGTATCTATTACCGCACTAGTGCGGTGATGGAATAAGAAATAAATCTCAACCAGAATAAATCGGTAATTGAATGAATACAAAAGAATTCAAATAACACTTCTCGCCAAATTTTCAATATCGAATGGTAGATCATCTTCACTTGAAGACATTTTCACCCAAGAAACTCAATGATGGTTCTGGATATCGATCTGACCATTTAATTTAACATCTATAGGCTGTGTCGAGTCTGTGGTTTGACCGGGCACATACGTTCAGTATGAAGTCTGACTATCGGTTTGACCAACCAGCTGTTTGGGAATATCGGTCACGTTTCAAACCTGCTCACAGAGTTACCACGTTAACTTTTGATGAGAGTCGAGTAAACCATTGGCCATCTTGGCATTACCACTGTGGTCGAACGAATGACTTGACACAAACGACTCTGTTTATCCCTACCGTTGCTACGGTTACAAAAATGATCACAAGCAACTTGTGTCCTCAATTATCAGAAAACTGTCATGAGTAGGTACCTACGTCGAAGTAGAATATCAATGAGGTACATTTATTGAAGATAGTTATGGAAACGTTTACAGTTGTAGAAAAAAATTTGTACCCAACGTGTGGGATACTACATCATTAACGCACTCATGTGATTTCACGACTCAGACTACAGCTTCGTCGTAAATAACTATCACAGACCTCTGATCACAGATACGTGACTTTCAGTTTCCTCTTCGGCATTTTTTACACCCTGTATGATGAATATCAATTCATATTGTTCAACTGACAAAAAATTTACATCTAGTTCAATAAAAAGGGTTCAATTCAGAGATGAAGTAAAGTAAATTCCTACGGTTGTGTAGAATAAATACATGGATAAGCAGGGCATTATAGTCTTCAAATCTGGATATGTTATTAATAGTTATTTATTATACAAGGCAAAAAAGTTGGAGATTTTAGCTACACGTTGTGTTGTCTCCCGACGCTTAGCGGAGAGAGACAAAAAACCGTGAGCTAAAATCTAATATTTTTCCCGTGTATAATACACTTTTTTTTCTGTGACAGAAGAAATGACGAATCAATATTGAGAAGATATTACATTATTCTGGAATCTGAAAATTATCGACGTGAAATTTTGAGTTTTTAACAGTATATAGGGACACCTGCGTTGTAGGCATCTTCATCATTCTTTCGAAGTAATCAAATAACTATCTGATGTCACTTCTGTCAGTCTAATTCTGTGATTTGTTTTCAAAAAACTGCGAATTCACTGGTTGTTCAGTAGGTAACATACGTAACCGCGAAGTCGAATGGAAGATAAAAGGACTTGCAGTTCTTTCTCGGAGACGGTATTATTGACTCATTTTTCGGAACTATAGCACGACAAAAGCCATCGACAGTGTATATATATGTATATATACCATATGTGATATATATCTGGGAAAAAAGTACTAACTTTTTTCCCACGGGAAAAAAGTAATTTATGAAAGGTGACATTTTATAACCTGCCAACAGAGATGAAATGCCAAACTTTTTTCCCGTCACAGAAAAAAAGTTCATTCAAAGCGATATTTTATTGAGAATTGTATAAGAAACAAACAAAGTTTGAGATGGAACTTTTTATAGGAATGTTATTTCAATAATATAATACTAATGATAGGCTATACATGGTAATGCATGGAGGCATAAAGACAAAAACGATTCAACATATTTCCTCAGATAGGCACCATTAAT